GTTTGGAGACAATCAGTTAACAGCTACTCGACGCGACACAAGGTTTTTCCTTGTTGCTGTTTTTGATGAATGTGATCCATAATGGCCTCTTTCGACTATGACTTGCTTATCTTCTTGAAATGCGTTGTTTTATACTACTGCGAACAGGAAGTGTGGTCATAACCTTCCTGTTTACGTCATTCGTGAACGAATGGTTGTAATCGTTGTTAAACAGTTGTTCATCGTTGTTCTGATCGCTATGTCGAGAGCCAATGCTTGATGGATAGAACGTTGAAAGTGTTCCTTTCTCCAGAACATTGAACTATAAACGTACCAAGCTGTTTTTTGTCTCCTTTGACGTAAATTTTGTCAATTACGTCACGAGCTCTCGAATTCGCTTCGTGTCTACAGCATACGGAATGTTTCCACATTCGCCTAGGGGTGCGGTGGTGTGCTGCTCATCCATTGTTCGAGCGTCGATCGCAATGCGCCTAGTTCTTCGGTCTCAAACAGGGTGGTTGAAATGTCAACAGTGGGGAATTTTATATTTGTCAAGGTCATCAAGTCACTTGGTATGCGCAGTCATGGGTCAGTGTTTTCAGAATCAAAACTCTGGTCTTTCAAAGCCTTGGAGGTCAGCATTTGCAGTCGTTTTGTCATTTTCCGTTCGCCGGGTGATAGAAGTGGTCTTACATCCTGTTTACGTATTCGTGACGACTGGGATTGTATTGTTGTTGCTGATCAAGTCTGATCGCTATGTAGAGAGCAATGCATGATGAAAGAACGTTGAGTGTTCTTTCTCCTGAGAGCAAAGAATTAGTAAGTCGCCAAGTCACGTTTGTGGCGGCAATAATTTAGCCGGGCGTTTTTGTTATAATGATCGTCGATTAAAGTATCACCACGTGTGAGCGAAATTAGTCCATCGTTGTGTGCTGTTGCATGATGGATGACAACTTGACTCCGGACGAAGGCTCGGCCAGCAAAAAACACGCGTTTGTGTATGTTCCAAGTGTGAACCCCTGGAGCCAGATTCATCTTTTGGTCTGACTCTTAGCACAATGAAAGAACTGTGTTGTTTATGTCATTTGTATCGCGCCGGCTTTGAGGTGGTTTGAGGCGCAGCT